AAATTCCGAGTTCCATACTCAAGGACCCCATTCCGGAGATGATGAATTCCTGGGGTATTTATAGGATTCCTTGCCATTGTGGTTTAATTTACATTGGTCCAAACTAAGAGAGCCTTAAAATTTCGCGTCAAGGAACATGAGTCATATGTTAGAAAAAAGGAAACACAGAAGTCTTTTGTTGCTCAACATTGTTGGTCCGAAAATAACACTTTCAATTTTTCTGCTGCCAAAATTATTCAAAAAACATCTTCCATTGGAGAAGTGGACTTTCTAGAGGCATTTCACATTCATAAAAATCTTCCTGTTCTAGTTAACGATCCTAATTCCAATCCAAATTTGCCTTCGGCCTTTAAAGAAATTATGTTTTAGTTCTGGTTTCACCAACAGATGGCGCCACTTGCTTATTCTTGTCCAGGCTTTCTTATCTTATCTAATCATTATTTCTTATCTTGTTCATTTGCGGTTTTGCAGCTGAGGATGGTGGTTCGGTAAAACCATCGAAACTAGTCCTGTGAAAATTTTGTAAATATAACGCTGATTTTTGTTGTTTGACTTGTGAATTACTAAATTGTTAACCAAAGTCGAAGAGAATCGAATTTGGCAAATGATATCCCGCGAAAGAAAACTGAAATAATCGAGAATTTATATGGGCACTTAATTGAGAAAAATCAACGAAATGAAAAGCTTAGATTCAGAAATGGAAATGAAAGTAACTTCGGTGGAGATTGAAAATTAAAGTACACAAAGTCAAGAATACCAAGATAGAACTGCTTTACGGTAAAAGAATCCGTAACTGCAGTATATCAGAACGAAATGGCGAATGCTAATAAGAAACGAAAGCAGTGAAGTAACCAGGTTTGCAAATTGGAACTTATGACGGAGATACATCTAAATGGTTGGACCTTTGGAATCAGTACGAAAATAGAATTCACAATAAGATTGGACTGTGAAAAGCTGTAAAATTTGCGTAGCTAAAGTCGTCGTCTACTAAGCGGTAATATTTCAGGCGTCATTTCCGGTTTCGCTTTAAATGATCAGAATTACTATTCAACGATAGAAATACTACAAGAGCGTTTTGTAAGATAAGATGTAAGCACTTAGCATATGAATAAATTTTTATATATTGAGCGAGTGGGAAACATTACAAATATGAAAGGCCTAAAGAAAAAAAAAAAAAAAAAAAGGGGGGAACTGAAAGAAAGTAAACTTTATGATTAAGGCAAAATCAGTATCCGAAGTTTAGAATCTTTAAATGTTACATCTGGCAGTTATGGAAATGTTCTCTGTCCTATAATTTTGCAAAGACTTCCAGAGGAATTAAAATTAGAATTTAATTTAAGTGGAAAAATAGGAGCAGAATTCGATATAAAGGAAATTATAGAATTTTTAAAAAAGGAAGTTAATTGCAGAGAAGCTGCAAGTTTAATGAACTGCGCGAAAAATAATAAAAAACAAGGCATTCGCAAACAAGAAAAACGCATAGCTTTTCGAAGTCATAAACCGAAATTTCCGACTGCTTGAGCTTTGTCAACGATTGGATACAAAAACATATCTTGTGATAGAGAAGACCATACGAAATACAAATGTACGGACCTGAACTCTGGAGAGAAGCATAATTTTTTGAAACGTACAGAAGGCGTTTTCTGTATTTTGGATGTAAACATTTAGCAATGACTTGTAAGAACAATTTTTCTGCAAAAATTTTTCGCGGTATATATCCTGAAAATGTTTTAAAAAATAAGGAAACTGAAACATCGACGAAAATTTCTTAAAATTCCTCTGCTAAAACTGAATCTAATGTTATGTTTCAAACGTTACATGCTGTAGCTGAGAGTGAAAGCAGCAATTTTATTGTGAGGTGTCTGCTTGACGGCGGTAGGCAAATTTCTGTAATTCGAGAAGATTTATCAAGAAAATTAAAATTACCAATGAAAAGAGAAACACTGCATACTTTCGGTGAAAAAGAAGGTTGAACTTACTCTACGAATGAATGACCCTGGAAAATATATAACTCTTGAAGTCTTCGAAGCACCAGTCAATGCAAATGAGGGCATACGGATACCACATATACGATTCAAGTCCAAACGTCAAACATTCTGGATTATTTTAACAGATCCCAGTGACGCCGACAAAATGAGTCATAAGATTTCCGCTTTAATCGGCGCGGATAATTTACGGAAAGCGAAGAATTAGAAAGGAAAAGCGGTAACATCGTAGGAATGAAAAACCTTCTTATATAAAGAAGATTTTCTTCTTCAGACTTTCAAATGCACAATGCGGGTTTAAACTTAAGTGTAGATGGATTTGGATTATTCAGTTATGGCAAAGCACACGAGGGCTATCTGCCTAAAGGGAGGGATGCCTTCCGTGGAGGACTTTCTAAGGGAAACTGGCTCGTATACACGTTACACATGGGGAAAACCACGAAAACGCCCATGCAGCCAGCCCGTTCGAGGGATTCGAACCTCAGACCGAACTGCCAGTGTTCAGCGTCTTTACCGCTCGGCCGCTGGTGGGCCCCGTAAGTGTAGAAGAGGAGCTTTTAGGAAGCGTCGAATCGTTTTTGTAATAAGTTAGTCAAGTTTAACAGCAAAACAGGAAATCAAAGGTCATTTATTACTAGAGTGCGCAGAAAGACTGGGTTTGAGAGTGAATGATAGTTCAGCCAAACACGAAACTACGAAACTGAAATCAGTTTCGTGTTTGGGCACTTTTAGCATTGTGAGTATGGAGTAGCTATTTTAGAGTTTACTCCTCATTTCAACAGTGAGTTTGAAATTTTCACTACTGCTTTCATGATGGAAAATATTAGTCACAATCTCTCTTTTGGTCATTTCTTGATGGAAGACCGAAGAAAAGATGCTTATAATAAAATTTATGTTTATATTTTCATAACACGCGGTTTCGTAACCAATTTAGAATTGGTTAATCTGAATCCTTAATTGCTACGTTAGAGAGATTTTTTGTAAACATGGTAAAAACAGCAAATTATTTAGTGATAACGCTAATACATTTATTGGAGCTTTCAATGAAGTAAAGGAATTTTATAGTATTATTAAAAAGCCAGATGAAATATTAATATATATGACTACGGGAAATATTGAATGGAATTTTATTCTTACCCGATTCCCGACGTTTGGAGAACTGTGGGAAGCTGGAGGTTCATGGCTTTCAAGTACCACTTAAAGCGTGATGTGGGTAATGCAAAATTAACTTTGGAAGCGTTTCTTAAGGTGATGAATTAGATTAAAAGGAACACTTAATAAGCATCCTATTTCCACTCTGACATCAGATTTCGAAGTGCCGACGCCTGCACAATTTTAAATTTTTTTTATAGTTCATTCAATTACGGACATCTCTGAGAAAGATTTTTAATAATTATTTGTTAGATAATAGATCTTTGCATTGGCAACTGGTAAAAAAATTGATTCAATTCATTTGGAAAAAGTGGTCACATACTTATTTAGACAATTTATAAGAGATAAGTAAGGGGTTGTTCGCAAAGAATGATGTGAAATTATGGACTTTAATTATCATTAAAGAAGATAATATGTCAGTTTGTAGCTGGTTACGGGGAAGAATGGTAGATATTTTTCCAGAAGGTGACGACAAAACACGAGTAGTAAATGCGAAGAAAAGACATGGCAAACTCAAAAGAGTTGTTTCGAAGATTTACATTTTGCCATTTGTGGATAATGTTGGAACACCTCACCTATAACTGTTAAATTTTTATGCTTACGTATAGTTCTAAACTACTGTGTTGATTAATTGATTTTCTTTTCCTTTTATTGAACCTAGCAGTTTCGGGGGGGGGAGTACGTTGCGTCATAAGCAGTGATGTCGTGAGATTTTTACTCATATAAGGTTGCGAAGAAGCAAGGAGGTTAAGGGCAGAGCCTGCATTCACGTCAAGTTGGGTGAAGTCTGCACCTCTCGTGATGGTTAGTTGCGATGACGAGAAGTGTGAAGTCAAGTACGAGAGTCATCTGTAAAGTCAAGTTCATCTCCATGTGATGTTCAAATTCATTCTTGAACTAGCGCACGTACAAAGAAACAACAATGGTTATCGGCAAAACCGTCGAGATTAATACAATGGCAAATAATGTTAAGCTTACCACGAAATAGACTGGCATGAGTTAAGAAATCAGGTTTACAATAACAAAATTATTTTCCTTTATAAATATCTAGATACGCAGCAAAGTTCAAATTTCGGAATTTTATGATTACAAGATGAACTTTTGCCTCAATATGAAAAAGGCAAAGTATGTAAGTTAACTATATTTAGTCTAATGTCAAGTGTGAGTGTGTGTAGCTCATTGTGCTGTTGCACTAAATCGAACATGGAATCCGATTCAACATTTTCTTTTTAAATTCTTTCCCTGAGCAATTACGATGAAGATTAATTGCATGATTTAGATGAAAAATGTTTTCATTTGTGAAATAATAATAAGAAACGTTTAATGAGAATCAGAAGCAATCGCAAACAAATCTCCAGCGAATGGAAGTTACAAGCCTTGAACCATGTACCTAAGACTTGACCTGAGTGTGATCAATTTCTTCAAATGCAGTCACTTAAGAAATTTTTTAAACTGTAATAAAATTTACAATCAACGAGTCAATAAAAATTGTTTACTTACATTTTGAATTTGCATTTTTGAATATCAGTAAGTGTACTAGACTAATGTAGTGAAAAGTAAAAATTAGCATAGATTTTACCATTGGGAAGGTCTTGATTGCGAAGATTGTTAATCACAAAGTATGTTAAGAGTGATATATTACATAATATCTCATGAATATTTTTCATCATACATTTTCAGGTATTTGGCTCTTGTGTAGTATTATATTGTAATCGTAAAAATAAATGGCATTGTTTATCAGTTCTAATTTTAAAATATGCTCAAATTATTTTTTTTCCGAACAACCCTTCAGCATTTCGCTATACGTACGAATTAAAGTACCGAAAGCTGACGCTCTTATCAAATGCATTTTAGTTCTACAAATTTTTGAATGTTTCTTTAAAATGCAAATTTATTTTAAACTCATTTCTGCTCATACAAAATGCTCTCTTTTACTATTCTTGATATATATGAAATGAAATCAGACTAAAATGAAATCAGGCAAATACGTTTCTTGGGATGCACACAGTAGAGGATCATTGGCTGTTACAAGTCCATCATTATCATCTGCTATCAGATCTTCATAGTCCCTGAAAGGGCTGTTATTTGAAATTCCGGAACTTGGACTAGTTGGTGGGGTGGCAGATGTTACTGTACAGCTTGTTTCAATCAATGTTCGGTCGTCATGTTCTTGTTTATATGTTAACACTTCTGTTTCTAATGGAGAACTAAGCTCATTTTGTTGAGAGGTAAATGGTATGCCACGTGCTTGAAGCTCTCTCTCGAGTTCCTGCAAAATATTTCGAACATTTAATATAAGTCATAAAAATCTAACTAATTCAAAAACTAATATAGCTCACGATCACTATATTTAGGAAGTTTCTGAATACCGATTACATGACTCAAAGGGATTACTCTTTTTTGATATTAGCGGGAAGTCGCTTTCCCACAAGACTTATTTGAAATCTGCAAGAATCAAGATGATATGAACTGCAGTTTAACGTTACATATGCCATATCTGATCCATCAAATATATGATTCTGAATATCAAGCAGAAAAGAGAACGTAAACCTGCTTATACGTGAAATGCTTTTCACGGCCTATGCCCTGCATTTTCATTAATGGCTGCGAAGATTTCAGACTCCAAAGAAATTTTTTTTGAGTTTTCACTACTGTAATGAGCAACAACAAAGAAAAAGAACCCTAAGATATAAATTAGTTTGCTGTTCTCAAGCGCGCACGGAATTACTTAGTTACGCATCCAAGCTATATAATTAAATTTAGTTTAATCTTCTTCTCACTAAGTGTATATCATAATTCCTATTAATGGATATGTTTGTCATTCATACCAATCATTGCCATATTTTCCTGTCTTAAATCATTTAAAATTTTTATTGATAACGCTCTAAATGTCAATAAATATTAAAAGTTTTTTTATGAATCGGATAATTTATATGTGATGTGGCATTTCAGTTGGTGTCATATCACCCGAAAGGAAAATTAATCTCATTTCAACAATTCCCTTCTCCCGTCTTCACTATCTCTGTGGTGCCTAAATGGTGACAGACAAATTATAGAGAGATATAGAGATTATTATAGAGAGGTATAATTATAGAGAGATATTGCAGTTATATCTGCAATCTAAGCACGATCCAGCAACGAATAATCGCGCTGCGACGTTGGTTATTGTTATATATCAATATCCTAATATCGGTATGTCGTAATATCAATATGTAACATTAGTATTTTTGTAATATCAATACATTTTAATAGATTTTAATAGAAGTTAATAAAAATTTGTCCTTTATTTAAATTGCACTTGTACAGGTGCTAGCCTTCTCCAGTGCAGCTTGTTTTACAAAATTGCATAGTGTCTTTCAGTTCACAGGTACAGGCAGAAGCTAAGCCAGTACCCCTACAGTACCATACATTATTGAGGTACTGCTGTACCTATCTCAATAAGTTTTCCCCTCAGTTTGGAATTTCGAGGGAAAGCACCCCAGGGCTCAGTCCGATGGTCTCACATTCTTCTTCCCCACCATCAATCTCTCAAGAAAATTTCAGATTGTCGTGCATTTTTAAGGTTTTCCTTAAATGCTTATTAATATTATAGTAAATTAATATGTTAAAAACATCCATGCCTTCTTCGGGATTCGAACCCAGGCCTTTCAGTATGTCAGCCAGCATCCTTATCCACTATCTCGTTTGGGCTGACAGTCCTTTCTAAAAATCAGTTCTAATTTTAAATGTACTTTACGTAAAAATATACCACGTAGTTGCATCGTGCATCAGAATGTAGGGCCGTTTTAACAGTCTGTAGTAATCTGGGTCTTTGCCTACGGCAGTTCTGTTAAGAATAATATGAGCCTTAAACAAATGGAACATATCTATAGTGCCTGCCACAAAGCTAGAGGTGATCTGAAAAGAAAATAATGTTTTGGTGTAGAGCAGGGAGAAGTATAGTTGTTTCATTGGAATGAGTATTTAAAAAAAAAATCCATTGCTATTTGCTTCGTTTTGATACATGTTATAATAAAAAACGCTTTTACGAATTAATTTGTTCCTAAGAATCATTCACAAAACTTAAGTTCGTTAAGTTAAAATTACTCAGGTGGAAAAATTCCCTAAAATGTTTAATTTGTTAATTTTTAAAAATTAGTTTTAAAAGATTAATTAGTCATTTCTGAAGCTTTGTAAGGCAGAAGTTCGTAAAATGAAGCATGATTGTAGTTTCGAACGCTTAATAGTTCGAGAGCAGTTACGTTTATTATTAGGGTTATGAACTAAAATGTAAACAATGAATGAAGTCTGCAAGATTTTTAGTACATGAAAAGTACACATAGTTTGTTAAGATTATATAACTACTTCAACAATTTCAAAATTTTATTGCTTGCTGCTTCTCTTTCATATCTCGAAAGAAAGGAGTGAGGGGGGAAAACCTTCTCTCGTGATTTCTACTTGCAATTTTCAGATGAACCCCTTAAAATATTTTGTATCTTTCCTTTTGGATTTTTGAAATAATTTCTCTCTTAACCCCTTTAATCGTATCTACTACTAACTCAAGCAGTTTTCGGTCAGTTTGGAGTTAAGAGATTAACTATTATAATTACAGATTTCAAAGAGAAAAATTCAGATACATTATACTGCAAACTTGGTTTTTAAAACATAACCATTTGAAGATTCGTATTCAGTATCTCAACGAAATTATTCGTAGGATTGGAATCTAGGAACGAGAGAAGGCTGTAAGGTTTATTTTAATTAAGACGTCATTTTTATGTTAAATCTCTTCTGTACTCCTATTTTCTCGCATCAACTTCACAAGAAGTGATAGGGGAGTTTAGGTGAGTTTTTAAATAGCGAACAAGAGTTTAAGCGAACGATAGAGTTTTGGCAACTGTCAGCCACCCTGTTATCTTATGTTTCCACTGTCATGTAACACGTGCTAGTTTCAGTGAGTTGTTTTTTGGCTTTTGCTGGTACATGTGCTTAGGGTCCTGATTGCTAGGTTGCTGTTTGCTTGTACATATTTAACTTGTTTCATTTCCAGATCCGCAAGGAGCAGGATTAAATTATAATTAGCAATAAAAGTTAAGTTTGATTTTCTTCTTCTTGTGGGAAAGTAGTGTTTGAACTTCAAAGTTTGTAGAGTGCTTAGATATTTATTGGAGCAACAAACGGGGAAAAATTCGGCATTTCCTTCGCCGGGATTCGAACTCCATACCTGTCGATTGCTACCCGGACGTGCTTCCATTTATACCACGAAGACACGCGGTAAGGAAGAAGAAAAATCCCTGACAAGGTCAGTAAATCGAATGTAGCACAAGGTAAATAAATGTGTAATTTGTTTTAAGAGTGAAACTAGGTTTTAATCTTACAGACTAACGATAGGGAAAAATCAATTACTGTAAGAAAGTAAAGAAAGTGAATTTATTTCATTTTATTTTATGCTTCTCTTATTTTATTTCTTATTTGTGCTATTCCTTTTGTGCTGATAGCCTTTCAAGAGTTATCTTCCATCCGGCAGTGCTGAGAGATAAAACTATTAAAATAATAAATATAAGCGTATTAATAAATTTTAAACAAAACTCTTTTGGTTTAGTTTAAAACATTTTTCCACGCTACAGAAATCAGCTTTAAAAAAAACTGAATTTAATTTTAAAATTATCTCAGTACTCAAATCACGAGGCCAACCAAAAACGCAATTAAAAAAAGGAAACACTTTTTGTTTTCATCATACAAGAGTTGATTCGGGGCCGCTGTGTATAACGTGCCTTAATGTGCTGTACAGCATATTAATGTCAAATTTTTAAACATCAGTAAACACCGATAGCGAAGATAAGGCAACCAGGCAACGTTATGGCACGTCAGGACAATGCGGTTACATTTTCCCTTTCGTTATTGTTAAGTGAATTAAAACAACAAAGGCTACTATTTATCAGTAGGCGTGCGCATTTGAAATTGGATGCCGTACTTTCTAAAATGTATGAAATATATTTTTTTCTTTTTTGTCATCTAATTTTTCAAATTAATGAAAACTTACTTTCAAACTTTGCAGCTCCCAAATTTTGTTGCCCTAAGTTTTAGCGTACTTAGCCTGTGGGTAAATTCATTCCTGTTTTTTTTAACAAGTATGTATTCTAACATGAGTAGTTAGTAATATGCTCATCGTTATCTGACATTAGATCAAGTATTATGAAAGGTCTTAATTTAAAAAAATTGTAAAATTTTTAAAGACGAACTTTATGCGATGTAATACTAAATTAATGAGTAACTTGATTTCGGCAAATAATTGCATACATAATATCCGAATAACTTGCATTATAGGTAATTAAGCTCGCATTCCTTAGTTTTTTTTTTATTTATTGTAGTGTGGCGTTTTCAAAATACTTGATAAAATACTACAAGTTTGTTGAAAGAAAGTGTTACTTACTACACAAGCCATTAAGTGTGCTTTGTTTTCCTGCAACAAAAAACGCTACTTAAAAATGGCTCAAAGCAGATTGTGAAAACTTATAACCTGCACATATAAAATATTTTAAAATAAAGTCGAATATAACATTCATTGTAAGATCAAGGTTTATAAGTAATTTTAAGTTTACCTACATTTCCCATATTAAAAATAATACAGAATATAAATATATTTTATAATAAAGTGGCCTCCGGCTACGTTTTTCATTACACGTAAAATGAACACAAGTGAAAATTTTAATTTTAATTTTTAGTGAATGATTATATTCTCAGTATGAGTCTATGAAATGGAATATCTTCCAAATGGACTTATGAACAGGTCAAACGTTTCTTTCTTTCGTTATTACATTCGAGTTAATTTTTCTCTTCTTAAATTAGATCTGAGGACATTTTTCCTATGCTACGAAATTTCTTACGGAATATGCATCAAGTTTACAATGTCTGATTTGGTTTATTTAATTCCGGCAAAGCACTCGAGGGCTATCTGCCAAAGGGGTGGGATGCCTTCATGGAGAACTTCCTAACGGAAACTCGCTCGTATTAACGTTACACATGCGGAAAACCACGAAAACGTCCATGCAGGGATTCGAACTTTCTCAGGGATTTGAACCCCAGTCCGAACTACCAGTTTTTAGTGACTCTACCGCTGGGCCACTGATGATCCTTTATAATATTTGAGCACGCTGCCAGACGGTATAGTGGTTAGGGGAGCCGACTACGATACCAAAGGTTCCGGGTTCGAGTCCCGAAGAAGGCATAGTTGTAACTGTCAGTGCCTTCATAAGAGGCCCACCTATTAGGTGCTTCCAGAATAAAGTGACC